TCTGCGCTTTTCTTCTATGGCATTAATGCGCTGTTGGAACTCGATGAACTCTTTCTCTTTCCGTTTGAATTCCAGACCTAGCGCAAAGATGACCTCAAGCTTCACCTTGGTAATGAGCGCACGCTGTTGTTTCATTTTTGCCTCCATTTCTTCCACCCACCCATGCTCAATTGCACGAGGGGATACTCGCATGCGTTGCGTTTGCATGTCAAGATATATACTTTCCATCTAGAAAAAAAAAGTGTTGCAATGGTTATAGTGAGGTCAATACAAACGATAATTGTACGTACATCATGTATTCGTTCGTGCTCGATGTAGTAGTCATATTCCAGTTGTGCAACGCTGTTTAAGCAAAAATGCACAATGTGTGAGTGCCCTAAACACGGCGCAGTCAGCGGAAGCTTACCGTTGTTTTAGTTGCTTTCGTTCTAATCGAGCTTGGAGTTTATCGCGTTGAGCACGATGCCACTCTGCTTCAACCTCCAACACCGCAATATATTCTTGTCGGTTGCGAGTTTCCCTATGACGCATCAATGTATAAATTTCCATGCGTGCTTTCATCCCACGAAACATCCGCTGAATCTGAATAGCTCCACTCTCTAAACGTGCTGCTCTCTTCCGTGCATTCTTTCGTGCGAGGGTTCCACGCACCAGTCGCTGCAAGTTGATAGCTCTTATCTCCAGCCACCGTAAATCAAATTTCTTTCTAGAGAGAAAACCGCGCCACATAGATTGAATACGCAGTGCTGCTACCTCTCGTTTGCAGCGTTGACAAAACTCCTTTGCAAAATACATTCGGATGACAGACTGAATCTTGGTCACATTAATATACTCCCAGCGCTTCCAGGTCGGTATCACCTTGTAGCGAATATAATGTCCACGAAACAACGCCTGAAGCCTCGTGACACGAATATCTCGATTTACATGCCATATACGAACCCATTGCCTTGTCAGGAAACCGCGTACCAGGCGTTGGATCTGCAGTACCGCCTTAACTTCTTTGAAGTACACCCGCCAAAACTGTCGATGCAAATGCCCTCGCCACCACTTTTGCAGCTTACGCGTTGCCTACGCAAGAGTAATAATATTGCCAGAATAAAAACTTGAGTAAGCATAGATTAGAATCGCATCACGCAACACACCGCAGCGTAGCGGCGCTCCAACGTCAACATATCTTGGACAATCCGTGGTCGAGCCTTTTTCCTGAAATCGACCATTAATACTACGCAGAAATGTATTGTTTTACTAAAGTATACCTTTTCATTCGTTGTCGTAGCGTGGAATCTTTCATCAGCATAGTCAGCCTCAGGTTCTCCATGGCGTAGATGCTGCACTTCTTCTTGTTATTGCTGCTGCTGGTCTCAACCAACTTGATTGCAAGTTCCTGCTCATTTTCAGGCAGTTGGCGCAGCCGTCGAATCTCCGTCTTCTTCTTCCATTGCAACTGCTGCTCCCTTAGCTCTTGGTCCAGGCGTGTGGAAGCGCTGACAAGCTCATACTTATCCTTCACGCTCTGCTTACGCAGTCTCTCCAGTAGCTCCACACGCTCCTCTTCTTCCTGCTGTATATCGACCTCGGCTGCGCAAACCCATGCTGCCTCGACGGATACAAGTGCACTGGAGAATTTATTGTTGCTCTTCATGCGCCTTTTAAATAGTTGGCGACAGGGTCGGAACAACACTTCAAGTACCGTATCGTCTTAGTAGTTGGCGACAAGGGGCAGATAGAGAGTGTAACGAGGCAATTCTTCAAACTTCAAACTTCAAATTCTAAAATTTAAACGGAAAGATAAGCATAGTAATATATTATGAATTATTAATACTTGTCTTCAGTCTCACTCTTATCCTCAGTACCGCTGCATTTATCTTCGAGTTGCTAGCGCGCTATTTACTGATAAGTTGCTATTGGAACTCCGTTCCTAGTCAAGCAACACTTCGGACTCGTGAAGAAATATGAAGACTGAATTATTTAAGTGCTAGTCCTGCTCTTCCGAAGCTACTACCAACACTCACGGGTTCAACCCCGCTCCCATACAATGACCTGGCGCAACTGATTCTCATCTCATGTCTCCATGTCCCGTTGTACCTGGTCTCCAATATGGATTCCAACACGCCACCCTCGAAGTACAACTTCGACTACTTAGCATCCCTCACGCCGGCCAGCTCCAACATCGCCTTCAGACGTTTCTTGTCGAGTGGCTTAGTGAACGTGTCAGCCGGATTCACCTCGCCCTTCACTTTGTGCAGGTCGATGATTCCTTTCTGCACTTGTTCTCGGACATAGTGCCACCGGAGCTCAATGTGGCGTGTGCGTCTGCTGTAGGTAGGATTAGTTGCCATTACATGAGCCGCTTGATTATCAATACCAATTCGTAACTTGACCTCATGTTCTGGTAAAATCTCTTGTAGTATGTTCCCCTCTGCTACAGCTTCCATCGTGGCCTCACACGCAGCCACATACTCCGCTTCCGCCGTCGATAACGCAATAATCGACTGCCGCCGTGACATCCAGGCAATCGCTCCGCCAGACAGCGTGAACAC